AAGTTTAGATTTCATCTTCCAGTTTGTACCATAGATTTGTGTGCTCCTAAACCATGCACTGTCATGGCTGCCGGTCTTTGCTTTCTGTAAAAACTTGGCTGTGAATCTTGCACAACATGAGCTGTGCTGTTACACCCAAATGAAGGACGAGTTGTTTCCTTTCCAAGGAAGTCATGATCCGTTTTTTACAACGGCGGATGTTATTCCGCATCATTACAGTAGTCTCCACCTAAGATCCCACTGCTTACGATCCCGGTTCGCTTAACATCCCGCTGTTTTAAGAAAACAGAATTTTTACTATACAAAAGTCACCCTTAAGATCCCGCTCTGATTCACTCTGAAGGTCTACATTCGGCTAAGATCCCGCATTTCAGATCATAATTTGCGGAAAAAACCACGGGCGGGAGAGCCGATCAACCAAGAGTGAAAATTTGAGATCAATAAACTGTCCGTCGCATCAAAGATCAGCCACTATCGTGAATGTGATCACATACTCGTTGTAAAACTCGATGAAGCGATACAATGTTTGCCCCAGACGGGATCACACCGGGGTGTGAACTAACACCATTACGTTGTGAACACACCAATTAAAATTCAGTCTGTCTCGACAAAGGCGGTTGGGGGAGATGGAAAGCTATACATTTTCGACAGGTAAGGAGGAGGGGAGGGGCAACTTGATAAGCGTAGATCTTGAGCCTCATGATAGGATAATAAGTGAAAATGGCACGCCTCATCCCACTATGCCCTGTGATAGGTCATCAAGGTTAACCACTCTTTGCTTGCCATATGTCATAAACCCACCAAGCGGTCATGTCAGTTCATTTTAGAGTGGAGGTAGACCATTTTACCGATTGTAAGCCTTAACATGGGTCACCATAGATTCTTCCCTGGGTTCGTCGGTTAAGATCCCGGTTCGCCTAAGATCCTGCTTTTCCTTGCTCTCGAGCACCGGGATCTTAGGCGGAGACTACTGTATAACACCAGTCTTGCGACGGTCACCAGCAGCACTCCACTCTCTTGCCCATCGTTTGTTTCTAATGGTGCACCCCATAGTGAACCAGAAATATGTCAGAATGCGTGGTGTTATAAGTCTATGGTATTTACTAATGTTTTATAGGCAAGCAAATACAGTAATTGGAAATATGAAGAAACATGTTATTATTATTATTATTATTATTATTATTATTATTATTATTATTATTATTATTATTATTTATTATTATTATTATTATTATTATTATTTTTATTATTATTATGTTGTTGTTATTGTTATGTTACAGTATGGAAATATACAGTGTTCTTGTTGCTATGTATGTGATCATTTATGCAATATCATGATTATAAATCACAATGATAATTAATATTAAAATGTTTATACTTGCATATCGTTATCGTTATACTGATGAAATCATTTTGGTTTTTTTGTTCTTGTGTTTTCCTACATGTACATTCGTTCTTCCGTCATTCATCATTCTGCTCTTCTATCTGCCTTTCCATCTGTTTTGCCTTCTGCCATCTATCCATACTTCTATCCATCCACCCCTCCATCAGTCTATTCTTCCATCTATTCATCCATCCATGTGTTGAAAAATCCGCCCACTTATCCATCCATCCATCCATTCATCCATCCGTCCATCCATCCATCCATCCATATATTGGAACCTCCACCTATCCATCAGTCCATCCCATCCGCACATCCATGTATCTATCCGTACTTTGATCCATCCAGCTATCCATTCGTACAGCCATCCTTCCGTCCATCCAACTGCCTATCTGTTTGAGAGAGGGACAAAATGAATATGGCAGGTAGACTTTGGGGCTGATTTCTGTCAATTATTGTTTCAGAAGTGATAGTTTTTAAGCTTTTCTCTCCTCGGTAGTGAAGGATGATTTGGACTGGTCCCGTACCAACGCCTAACTCCAAGGGAGACTTTATAATGCATGGACGCAGCTACTAGGAACACTATATTATAAATGTCTCGTGTATGGACAGAACACCTAAGGGTTCTTTATATGTGTCATGAATGGACACAACTTATAAAGGACACATTATATAACTTCCTAAGGACAGTTTCTAGATTATATCTACATGTCATGCAAGGACATAACTCAAAGGCACACTTTATGTATATTGGATGTAACTTCTAGGAACACTTTACTTTATATAATTAATTAATTAATATGTGACACGTAAGGACACAACTTCCAGGGACACTTTACTCTGTATAATTAATCAATATTGTCATGTTGGACCCAACAAGACAGATCCCAGTCAGAGATGAGGTGGGAAGAAGGCGGTGGCGATGGATTGGACATACTCTCAGGAAGTCAGGCAGCTGCATAACAAAGAAAGTTTTGGATTGGAACCAACAGGGCAAGAGATCAAGGGGAAGACCTCGTGGAACTTGGAGAAGAATCACAGAAATCGATGTACAGAAAAGTGGGAAGACATGGAATAACATCAAGAGGCTAGCCCAGGATAGAGAAAAGTGGGGGGTGTTTGTCCGTGGACTATACCCTGATGCAGGGTGAGAAAGGCAATGATGATGATGGACCCAACTTCTAGACACATTTTACTTTATATTATTAATTGATATGTGCCATGTAGGCTACGGACACAACTTCTAGGAACGCTATATACGTGCCATGTTGGACGCAAGTTTGTCCTGTCTTGCACAACTGAGAATCAAACCCCCGATCTCAACCTTTCCATTTTCTATCTACCCAAGTGATCACTTTACACCAGCATCTATAGTGTAACGGTTAGTCTTTTCGCTGTCGCACGCAGAAATCCCGCGCTTCATTCCTGAGAGGGATGAGACCTTCATTGAGTATCTCGATCTTTCTACTGGAGTCTTGAATTCCTTTCAGCTCGGGTAATTGGCATTGACAGGTAGGGTCAGAAGCCGGCCTTTTGAATGATCTAAAAATTAAAAGTCACTTATTTACATAGGCCTTCAATTCCCCTGTGAAAAAATAAAATTAAGCAGCATTAGGATTACTTTTAGACCAGTATAAAGCGATGTAATCAGTCGTCTAGACCACAGGGACGGGGTGGATGGTGGGCGCTACTGGTTGGTCCTACTTCTTTGTTTTCCCTCATGTAGTTATTTCTGTTCTGTCTGTCTTACTTTTTCTCATCATTAAATGACTATTATTGTGTGGATGGGTTTCTCTTTACTCAAGCAAATTGACCAGCGGATTGCACTTCAACTACTAGAAGAGAGTCACCCGTGCTGTGGAAAGTGCCTTTTCACATCAACCTCTACAACTTAAAAACAAAAGAATTCTTGAAAAGGCAAATCAGAAATGTCATGTATTTAATCTCGAGCTTTAGAGTACAAAATGGAGTCAAAAGCTGTTCACTAAAACAACCCCCCCCCAAAGAAAAAAACAAACAAACAACACCTGACCCCCCATACACACTCAAAAAGATCTTTTAAAATTAACCGATGATGCTTCTGTATTGGACGAGCCATACAGTGAATATTGTGACAAACAGAAGAATACGACCCATCGTATATTCTCATAATTCATAGCTTTATCAGATGACTATAAAAATATGATGACATAATAATGTTTTAAATGTAGTTCTATACCAGTTAGAATGTAAAACCTAGAATACAGCTTCTCAATAAGTCACAAATCTACAATGCTTTGCTCAGACGTGGAGTGAAAACAGTCCTAAATTAAATTTATCATAACATTTTGGTTTTATAGTTCCTGTCCTGTTTGGGTGGGGTTCATTGTATTTGTGTGTGTGCGTGTGAGTGTGTGTGTGTGTGTGTGTGTGTGTGTGTGTGTGTGTGTGTGTGTGTGTGTGTGTGTGTGTGTGTGTGTGTGTTTATGTAAGTATGTACACTATCTCTATCAAGCACACAAATACACACCAAAGATACCCCCAGTCTTCTATTTTTCTCCCTGACAGCACTTCCTCCCCCTTCTCCCCGTTCTGTATTACATAAATTTCTACACCTCATAAGATAAGATAAGATGAGATACATCTTTATTGTCCAGATCCTGGCACATTGGTTTGGTGTTTCACTAAGTGTACACACACACACGCGCACGCACACACACACACACACACACACACACACACACACACACACACACACACAGACATACGCACACACGCACACACACGTAGGCTTACAATCACTTGCATAATATAAATGAGCAGCAATATAAACATTAATAATCGTAAGCTAGATACACACTCAATGTTATTTTGATGCATGCTCTAAGGTCGTAAGTGTACTATGGGCACAAATAAGATCAACCAGGAGGCGGGCTTCTTCGGCCTTGCTAAGCCAGGATTATAAGGCCCCTGTATCGTGACTCAGTCGTTTATTCCCTGCCGGCAGCAAAGTTATTGGCGCCTCGGTGGTTGAATTACGGGGAAATTAATTTTGGACTGCTGGTGAATATGGGCAATTGATTTAGGTCCACAGAAGGATCCAAACACTTTGCAGTACTCTTTCGGTTGCACTAAATAAAAGCGTCAAAAAGTGATTTTCCAAAAACCTGCTACTTATAGGCTTTTGAATCATGTGCCTTTCAATACAATACAATACAATACAACACGATGCAATACAACACAATACAATAAATACAACACAAAAACAAAACAATACGATACAGATGTTAATAAACATGTACATGTAGTAGAATAGAATAGAATAGAATGAGAGAGAATAGAATAGAAAAGAAAAGAATACATAATATAATAATATAATGATATAATAATAATATGCAGCATTCCCTGGACAACCAAGATAAAGAGAAATTGCCACTTTCGCTGCTGTTTCGATGGCTGTTACTGTAAGATTCAATGTATCTGACCATGATCAAATAGTTTGATGAACTTTGGAATACATACTCATACTTTGAGGCGGCTTTATACCCATTTTGAGACACAATTCCTCTGAAAGTATACTATTCTAAAGTTGTTCCGCTGCGGAAAGGGAAACTGCGAAATACGAGCTGCATTGATATTATGCGAATTTTTTTCAAGCTGTCGAGTTATACTGATTTTGAAATGCTAGGTGCTGCTTTCCAAACACACACTAACAATGTGCTTTTTGTTTGAAGTCGGAAGAAACTTGGAAACGTTTTGATGTGTTGGGTGTTCTCAGGTTTCGGTTTATCTACTTTCTATGTAGACTGATGCTGTGTTAAAAGATCAGAATATTGATTTAGAGATGGCAGAGTCAAGTGCTGCATATGAGGGCTTTGTGTGCCCCTGGGTGTGTTCGACAGTTCTTGCTGACATGTACAAAATATTTCTTTCGAGAGAGGGGTGCATTTGTTTGAGGATGATCGACGAATCCAGCAGACCGTCTCGGGGTGATGATAGTACCGACTCTTCTGCTCAGAGTGAACAACATGGCACTAATTGTGAGAATAACCGTGATCAACGACATGAAACAATTGAAAGTTTCCAGGAAAAGTTGCCAAGCCTACTTGCTCGGATAGGGTCGGTGTGGCGGGAGACCTCCAACTTTCTTGGACACCCTGGTGACTGGGCAATGGAAAGAATGATGGAATTCTTCTGTGAACACTTAGGTGGGCTGAAGTTTGAAACAACTGTAGATCCAGATATTTATTTGAACGTTTTACTGCTAAGTTATTTATAGTTTTGTTAAACGTCATGCTATTAGTAGTTAATCTAGGAAAGTGGCTATTCTCACCCGCCCGGAAGTTCTCGCAAGATCAACTCCTCCCCTCTTCTCTCTCTCTCTGTCTCTTTCTGAATACTGTCTATCGGTGTGGACGATCAAATTGACCAAAACAAAGTTAAAAATTGATGTTAAAACACAAAAGTAAATTAATTTGGTTGTCTACAAAGATGCTATGGCTATTTAACTTTTCGAATCGAGCCGAACTACGCGGGTCGCCATTTTGTTTTACCCGGAAATTCTCGCGCTACTCCTCTCTCTCTTTTTCTCTCTCTCTCCACTGCCCACAGACAAAATTGTACGCTTTTAGTAGGCTACAGTTGTAATGGAACGTTTGTTCACAGCACAGAATTCTACAATTTTTCTGTTATCACAGTGTAGAATTCTGTGGTTTAGGGTGAACGCAAAATTTGGTGAACGCGCACCGGGTGAGAATAGCCACAAGACTCACCTGCACTATTCTCACTCCGGGTGAGAATAGAGGTGGCCTTAATCTAGTAGAGGATTGTGTTTGGCCACCTCATCTCTATTCTCACCGAATAGCGCAGACGAGCCTTTTGGCTATTCTCACCTGGTGTCCGTTCACCATGATAGGCCAAACAGTGTAGCATTCACCGTGAACAAACAGTCCAACGCTCTTGTGTTGAAAGCGTGCAATTATGTCCTCCGGGCAGTGAGAGAGAGGGGGGGGGGGGGTAGAAAGATAGAGAGAGAAGAGAAGTGGCGAGAACTCCTGGGCAAAAGAAAATGGCGACCTGTGTAGTTCGGCTCGATTCGAAAAGTGAAATAGCCGTAGCATCTTTGTAGACGACCAAATTAATTTACTTTTCTATAACATCATTTTTTTCTTTGTTTTTATCAACTTGATCACCCATACCGATAGAAAGTGTATTCAGAAATTAGGAAAAACAGGTCTTGTTTCACAGCGGGTGAGAATAGCCAAAGCTGGCAAGTCTCACCGGGGGTGAGAGGTCGATCGTATTTTTATCTTAGCCACTTCCTTTGTATTTTCATAGAGGCTAATAGAGCACTACAAAGTTGGCCCTCTTGGCCCTACTTGGCCTAATCAATAGTAGTGTTGTTGTGGTTCAGGTGACTGCTTTGAATCAAAGTTTGAAGATGAAGTCGGAGTAGGCAACTTTGCTGTTAGGAGGATTTCATTCAGACTTGGTGATTTTGGGGGTAGCCTATTATTTTACTCATTGGCCTGTCTCATGCTCTGATATTCTAAAGCACTTTTCCTGTTCATATATAGATAAAGGCCTGCGTATGAAATTTTGAACAGCACATATTACTGTCAGTATCTCATTGTCTCAACTCTTTGGGTGGGAGACCGGATTTGACGTAACGATAAGAGAATTGCCCCTCTATCTTTGTTTAAGGCAGCACAGTACAAAGTGCTGCAGTACTGTGGTGTCATGCCTCCTTACCGGTACTTGAATTGTTCTAAGAACCAAGTACAAAACATTTTGCTGTTGTAACATTTCTGTTTGATTGAAACAAAATCCCTCTGTTTATTTTATGATTTTACCCTTTAAGCCCTAAACTCATGAGGTTACCATGCCCCTCTGCCTGAGCTCTTTTCTGTGATTTATACCTTCATTCATGCATACCATCGTTAGAATCACATTCCATATCCCGCTCAAGGTAGTCCTCGTCATTTCCAGCGTCTAATTCAGAAAGATCTTCAAAATATTAATGTTCTGTGTGGTAATCACTGTTTTCCATGCGTGCACATTTTGTCACAGGTGGGCTGGTTTGGTGATAGGGTCTCGCTCACCGGTGTACCATTGGCTAGGCATAGGCAAGTTTACCCGCCACTGGTGTACCGGTGGCTAGGGCTCAAAGGGTTAAACATTTTAAGTCCGTGAATCGTTTGAAAGACGTACTGCCATGGGCCTGTCTATACTATGACAAATTGACATTCATTCACTGAGTTACCTTTTTTACTCTTTTTTTTTTTTCTTCTGTTTTCAGCCACTGACTTTGAAGTGGTGAAAAGCCTCAAGTTTGACTCATTTCTCAGCGGTCTGTTTGAGTCAGGTGACCTGATCGCGTATCCTGACTTCCTGATGAACCATTTGTCTCTGATGGCAGCTGAAGTGTTGGTGAAATGTCAGACTGATGTGTCGGATGAATTCAAAACTTTGGCCTTCAAACTGATTCGGAGTCCTGTGGGCCTGTGGATGGTAGACAAGGGTCATCGTTTGGACATCGTGTTCAGATGCTTCCGTCGATTTGTTGATGAACGCGTCATGTTGGACTTGTTGCATGAAGTGAAATGTAAGTGATACAGATGGGAAATGTAAGTGATAATAGATGTTGGGAAATTCTGTCCAGCTGAATTGATAGTAATGAGTTAAAGTGCTGTGGGGAGTACCGTGTGTGTATGATTTATGGCACTATTTATGCAATGATATGCTGTGAATTATGAAGCAGTTCTTATAATACTAAATTGCATTTATATTGCCCATTTTTATCTCAGTGAGATGCTCATCAATAAAATAGGTAAGATAGACAAATTCAAAAAAGAAATAGGAGGGGCAAATCACTCTGAAGTTCCTGACTACCACTTCTTAATGCTATTATTTGGCAAGTGGTCTGTAAAACTAATTATTTTCTCATGTTTTTTTCATAATATTGAAGAGAGCAACTGCATTCCTTTGAATTGATGTGCAAGTGCAATTGTTTTTAAAAAATGTTTTTTGGACTTGTAGAATTTGATGTTATTGATGAGTTTTACTCTTTATTTATCCAGTTGATGCTGAAATCTCCTTGAGTTTTGCTGTGGCGAGTCCCCAGAACTACACTCGCAAGTCGGCCTCTGAGTATTTCTGTGCTGCGGTTGCTTTTGCTTTTGGCAAGCAGGATGATGTGACCACACTTGATGAACCTAAGAAAAGTCCAGAGTCAGAACTGATTCAAAGCTATCGATTGCAGTTAAGGGACATCGTTATCACATCTCTAAAAGAGTTTTGTCGTCAGCTGGTGCAGAGATCAAAAACCAAAAGTGATTCCTTCCTTGGTGAAAGGCAACACTCACAAGATGTGGAAAATAATGAAAACATAAGCTCGTCGGTGGTTGTTTATTTCTGCGACCTCCTCGCTGCGTGTTCTCGGGCCTCGGACAATTTTGTCAGCTGTTTTACTCAGGAAAATGTCTGCCAGGACTGTGTGCAGCTCATGTTGTCCATTGGGAGAGACGGGACTGTTGATTCCCATGAGGTCTTCGCCCCAACGGTGGAGCTTCTGGTTCAGATGATCAATCTCAGGTGAGCTGCTATATATGTGCCAGATACTGTGGGGTCTGCTTAAACGGAACACAGGTAATCTGAAAAGAGCAGTGAACTGGAAAAAAAACCCCAACTGAATCCGATTAATTTTTTCTTTTATTTGAGCAACCTCTCTTAACTACAAATCCGGTTAAATTGACGAAAATCTGGTAGTCTCACTGATTTCGGTTTAAGTAGATTCCATCGCATGCGTTATTCTTAATACAATTAATTTACTGGGATGAGATATATGTATTTTGATCGAATTTAGATTCTTCTGAGGTTCTCTACTTTCATGCTTTTATAATAAGAATAAAGGAAAATGTTAATACTTACCCATTTACATTTTTACTTTTAGTTTTAGTTCATTGCTTTCACATCACAGCTCTCTCGGTTGAAACCAACTTGTTTGTTCTTTCAAGGTTGTTGGTGGGCTGGTTTATACATGGTATACGGTCCAACCTGCACCAACGATCGCCTGTCCAAGACAATCACCTGTACAGAGAACCACTTCCCACTTGTGTTAATTACGAGATATTTTGAACGGTGCTTTTTTTTTTTTCCCCAGTGAAAAGAAAGATGAGCTAGCCCAGAGACTCCTGGACATACTGTTGTGTTTTTGCGACAGGAAGAATGTGTCCACGGCAATTGATGTCATCAGTATTGCGGGCAAATTGTGTCACAGGTTAGTAAAAATAGATAGTTGCACATGTGTGTGTGTGTGTGTGTGTGTGTGTCTGTCCCCATGGTTTTATGCACCCCGCATAATTTGGCATAATTTGATTTTTTGTGTGCATAATTTCTGATTATTTTCCTTTTTCATTCTTTGCTAAAATTAACAGAATCGCATAATTTCACATTTTTTGGGCTCAGTTTGCATAATTTCAGAATTTCTTTTGCATAAAACCGCGGGGACAGGTGTGTGTGGTATTCAGTGTGGTAAGCAATATTTAGCTCAAATAACAGGGTGCTACACAGCAGCGACCAGCAAAGGCATGTTTGTAAAACTGTCTGCAGTTGTGTAATATTGTGTGTTTGGTATTCTTTGTATTATAATCTATAATATTTTGAGTGTCTGATGTATCTATGTATGTCTGGTTACCATTGTAGCCCAAATTTCCTTGCGGGGATTTGTAAAGTGCGATTAATTTTTCACCCTTTATTTATCATTGTTTATTTATTATTTCTTTAATCTATTACTGTTATTTTTTTTATTATTCGTTTATTTTATTATTGTTACTATTATTTTTAAAATCTATTATTTCTCTTTTCATAATTAATTAATTTTATTATTGTTACTATTTCAGACTATGGTATCCTGAGTCTGACCGGATTTTCCTGACAGAGCTTGCTCTTCTCCCGCTGCTGATCGTATGTGGATGGCCCAAGTCATGTGGCCACAGGTGTCCAGCCTTCGTCCAGTTTGTCGCCACGACCCTTGATGCTGGTGCAAGAACACAGCCACGAACTCTGATACAAACAGCTGTGACGAATGCAATACATTTTTCTGAGACACAGGTTAAGCTCTTTTAACTCTTTCTATCCATATTTTGAAATTCAAGTGTAGAGTTAAGGATGGGTCCCAAAATCGATGATTGTCGAATATGCATGGTGTGTTTTGTTCCCAACACTCACGGTTTTGTATCAGCTATTTTAAATCAATGAGTGTTTTTAATCTTTGTTAACAAGCTATCCTTCCATTTTAGTGTGGTTTTTCCAAAGTGAAGGGTCTGTTTTGAGTGAGTTGGGTTTTTTTTTTAATGGGAAGAATCGCTATTATTTTCATTCATGCTTGGTACTTAGGGATAAATCAGAATCAAGAGGGGCGTGGGATTCAGAGGGCTAAGACACATGGCACTGGATATTGGTGCTTTTGTTGTTGATCTGAATCAGACTTCGACCATTATGGTTTTTCATTCATTTCTCTGCCCAACTGCTCTCAAAAATACCTTTATCATTATGCAGGTCTTTTCCTGTCACCCGTCTGTTCAAGTTTTCTAAGGAAGTTATTCTTGGTCTACGTTTGCCTCTACCCTACAGAACCCTCAATAGGCTGCAACATTCAGAGAGTCAAATGCTTCAATTGTTTATTTTAAATATAGTTTATTTCTGGTGTGCTTTTTTTTCCAAGGTGAAAATGTTTTGTGTTCTGTTGATGGACTTTTATACAGTATAACTCGAATAGCTCGAATTCATCGGGACCGGCTTTGGTAGTTTGAGGGATATAAAGAAGAAGGAGAAAACGGGACTGCAGGCACAGTCCGATGGATGCGTGATTTTGAGTCTTCTGTGTTCGACCTTTCCGTATTATATTGTATATATCTGAATGCATGTTCTATGCTTTATATTGTAGTCCAAACTTTCCACAAAGGGATAAATAACAGTTGTACCTACTTGCTTATTTATCTGTTTTTATTATAAATAGATTTTAATACCCAGTTATAACCTTTTCCCTTTGACCAATCAGGATGAGTTTTCTCTGAGTGTCGACTTGCTAAACTACTTCCTGTTGAAGCGTCTGGAGGCTCCCAAAGATGTGACAAAGCCGTTCATGTCTGCAGGTCTGGTGACCTCCGTTGGTGCAACAGAACTTCTGTTGTGTGTTTTACAGCACTATCAACAACACCTGGGTAAGTTATCGCTGATCATGTACTTGTGCTGTGCGTCTTCTTAGTTAAAATTTCACAGTACTATCAGTAGGATATTGTTTCATCCAAAGCAAAGCCAATAAAACGGGCTTTAACTACTATAAGATAATACCTGTAACTCCATATGTGAGGCAGCGTGGTGGAATCAGGCTCTCGTCAATTTTCGGGCTTGTAGAGTTATTGGTATCATCTTAAAGCTTGTTCACCTGTCTTTATTTTGATGGAAAAAATATCCATTTAACTTGAATACAAGTCGAGATATTTGCGAATGAAGGAGGAGGGGGTCACCGGTTTTCAGAGGTAAAATTAATGAGAAAATGGCCACCAAAGATTAGTTATTTCCTTAGCTTTAGAGTCCGTGGTGACTGAAAATTTTCATTTTTGTGCCTTTAATCAACGTTTTTCAGAAAAATCCGAACAGAAAAGAGTTCTTAAATGGACATGAACGGTGTTGAGCCAAAAAACAAAAAAATTATAAAAATACGCAAACCTGCGGAAAAATGCCAGTTTCTTCACTTTGATTATTTTGACAAGAGCCTGATTCCACCACGCTGCCTCACATATATTATGCCCAAAAATTGATGAGCACCTGATTCTACTGCGTTGTAACACACGTATGATGGGTAACATCATGTATGTCTCCCTGTCTCCAAACAGTGCTGATAATGCTGTAAAATCTGTGTGTCTCGGTTGTCTCTGTCATCATTCTTTGTGCGTGTTTCCACAGACCTCATCGGCTGTGGCAGTACAGCGACAAGTGTCCAGAGGTATAGCAGAGCTTTGTTGCAACAGTCTTGTCTGAGCTTCCAAGTAAGTGGGTCTGCTGTCCTGTTTAGTTTAGTTGGTTTTAGTAAGAGTTTTACAGCACTTGCAACTCGAATAGGTCATATAAGTGCTGAAGATTAGAGGTGTCACTGAAGAGTAGCATAGTAACATACAAAGAAAATAAGGTGGAGAAATAAGGGTGACTGATGGGGGGGGGAGTACTGGGCTCATGAAGGGTCTGACGATGCCATACCAGTAAAGGTTTGTACAGAACTACTTCAGAGAAAAGGAAAGTATTGTGCTGTGCTTCTTTTATGTAATAATACAGACTTAGTTTTAGCAGAAAAGAACTCTCCAATATACCATACACTTGAAATTGTCCAAGCGGCATTGTGGAGGAGAAAAATGTTTGTCTTGGTCAGGTGAATGTCTTGGACAGTGTCATTATAATATATTATATAGGCCTATATCTGTCCCCGTGGTTTTATGCACCCCGCATAATTTAGCAAAATTTTGTCATTTTTTGCATAATTTCTGATTATTTTCCTTCATCATTCTTTGTTGAAATTAACAGAATCGCATAATTTCACATTTTTGGGCTCAGTTTGCATAATTTCAGAATTTTCCTTGCATAAAACGACAGGGACAGGTATATATAGAAAAAGAACCCTGGGGGAAGTGCTTGTATCATGGACAGGTAATTGCCATGGACAGGTGGCCTTTAGAGCAGGTTGGACTGTTAAATTTTCCTTTTTATTTGGCAGCAAGTGGATTCCGTCCTCCAAGTGTATTCAGCTACTCTGGCTCATCTGTCCGTGGCGACCAGCTCAGCGGCGACGGTTGACCTAAAAAATGGGTCTCCTCGGGACGTGCTGGATATCGGCATCCTCACGGACATTGCTCACAACCTCAACAAGAAAATGGTGGACTTGGATCCCCGCGTCAGGGAGATGGCTGTGAAATCTGCTGGTGCCCTCTTCCTCCTAGGTAGTGACTTGTTAATGAATGAATTGTTATTGCATAAATCTTACTTTCTCTCTCCCTGTACCGTCGGGAACACACGGCAGTCAGAAAGCAGGCGACGCCACACTTGTCTGTCCTTGCCCACTTCCTCTCGCTTTGATACATTCAGGCCCTGGGTGATTGTTTCATTTTTGCTAGTTTGTCTACTCTTCCTTTTTTACCTTTTGGTTTCCATTACCATGTCTGATAATACTGCACAGAAAGATTGTGTGATTTTTTAGCTGAATGATGTGATATAGTGACACTACAGTACTTTAAATCTAGAGACGATTGATTCTTATTTGAAATGTTTAAAGCTCCGATTGATACATTTTAGTTCCTTGAGGAGCCAGACTGCTTCAGCCCTTTGCCTGTCAGGGCCAGCCGGGGCTGAGTGGGATATAGCGTCAGAGCCAGCTGAAGGGGTAACTTGATGGATTTATTTCCCCACTTGGGAATCAAGCTCATGTCTTCTGTGTGCAACAGTGAAGCGTCTAACCACTCTCCTGCATGTGCTGGTGACCGATACATTGTTTAGTTTAGTTTAGTTTAAGTAAGAGTTTTACGCCACTTTCAACACAATATAAATCCCAAGTGCCAAATATTAGAGGGATTACTAGAGAGTAACATGCAAAGAAAAGGTGGAGAGATATAAGTATAATACATATTTGATAGGAAAGAAGGAGCGAATCATACCAAAGAGACATGGTTTAGTTCAGTTAAGTTTTAATAAGAGTAGTACACTACTTTCAACACTATAGATAAAAAAAGAAAAAGAAGAGGAGAGATGAAGAGGACAGATGTTTGATAGATGAACAAGCTCTGATCTAGACTCTCTTGATTCTTGTCGTAGGTAACAAAGAGGTCCATGATGTGTTGCTGACGTGTAACACCCTCACGTCTTTGTGGCAGAGTCTGAACGATTTGAACGAAGACGTCGTCTCACAGGCGCTGGCTGTGTTAAGTCAGGCTGCTGCAGGTGGCTCGCTGCAGGTTCTGATGACGTGTTGTGGAGGGACAGAGGTTTGCCATGTCATAAGATCAGCGTCATTCCACGCTAAGTGATTATTTAAATATACTAGCTGGGCCCCCTTTCGATGAAAGGAATGATCGGTGCATTAACATCAAGTGAAAGTCATTGGCCTACTATATTTACACTCTACTGGAATGGAGCAATAAATCTTGAGAGATGCAAAAAATTAGATCAAGATCTATACTCTGTGGTTGTACACTCCAGAATTTCAAAAGTGTGGAATAAGGCGCACGGCTAGTGAACGGAAACCTCACCTCACTTGTTTACAATGTCGTCTTAGAAGACGGACTTTCCCAAGATTAGATCTAAACAAAACTAATGAAAAACTAAAAATTAAACTACAGTGACTTCAGGCTCCTCAATAAAACTGTGCACCCTTTAAATAATTCTGAGCCCCCATTAATTTTGTCAAATTCGAAAGTTTAGTGGTTCGGAAGTTTTAGGCGGCCAAAGTGGCGGACTTTCACAAATATAATATGTAGAGATAAACATCAAAGGGCCTCTTGCAGTATAGTTTGGTTCTGTTTTGTTATTTCCTTCCCAGTTTTCAATTGAAAAATAATGAGTGACCACGACATGATTCTGATTTGGGCTTTAGACACCTGTGGAGTGATGCTGACAATAGATCATAGACTGAGCACCTATTGTGATTTTGTCCTTTTTGGACAGAATGAAAAGAAAAGTTTTGTTAATGGAGAGATATCAAACGACATTCCATCGTGTCTCTAGGAATCAAACTAATCCACTCAGTAGCTTTGAAAGAATGGCAATTCCTGATGTGTCTTATGTTGTAATTTAAAAATTGTATTCAACTCGCCCCACCCCTCTGGAAATTGAACACTCCTGGAGTTTGGACATATTCACCTCCAGCTCTCTGATAATGATATTGTTGTGTTTTTGGTTGATGTGTTGTCTTTAGTTTGTCACTTTTCCACTCTGGTCAAGCTCGATTGACTGTCATTAGCTGTCTTCAGTTTTTCTCCTCTCACACACTGATAAGCTCTTTCTTACCTCATACAACTGTTGTTTTCCTTACATCATGTTCTTGTAAATGAATGTCACTCCAGTTATTACTGTAGTATTCTCTCTTACTCCAAAGTGCTTTTCTTTCGCTCAATGACCTACGTTTAAACTCTTTGTTTGTGAATGAGGATCTCCCCCCTCCCCTCTCCTTTTAGTGTGGGAGGTTAAAGAGCGCTACTAGTACTAGCGGTAGGTCTCACTTCTTTTCTTTCCCGTTCCCTCTGTTGTTTCTGTCTGTCTGTCTTTCTTTGTAAACCCTTTCTCAGTGTGACGGTTATCTTGTTATTTGACGATCAATCAAGAAATGTTTCTCCTGTGTTTCTTCACCCAGGAAGTTGTCAAGTCAACAGCATCAGGTCTCCTCGTGTCACCCCATTGGGACAACGTCAAGCCAATCGCACTCAAGTTGTTGTCTGAGCTGGTGCCGGCGGACATGTTCACGACGTACGCTGAAGTCTGCCTGCGACAGGACAACTCTCGGCTCTGTACGTCGGTTCTGGAATACGGCGGCAAAGTTCTCCTGTCTGGACTCCGCGACCCCTGTCTTTCTTCGTCTCAGCGCCTCGACATACTTCTCTCCTGGTTAGAGGCCGGCTGGGGAGATTTAGTTCTTAGCAAAGCCGACGCACACGACACCAGCAACTTCCGACTGGCTGCTGAGATCATGGCGGACATCTTGAGTTTTATGAACAAGCCGGACGTAGGAGACAGTATAAGGGAAAAAATTACACATCTGATTGCCAGCTTCGCAAAATTTTCTGATACCGATTCTAAAACGTTCAGAGAGGTGTTTGGTAGTTTTTGCCAAAGATTTGAAAGTAATGGAAATTCCACCTCAACTTGTAATGAGAATACAGATGAACCACTGGCAAAAAAACTGAAGTTTTGTGACGGTCCAATGGGAAAAGTGACAGACAGCGGTTTGTGTGAAGGGGAACCTATTCAATGTTTTTTTTGTGTACTGGCTTCCAACATTTCCCAAGAGAAGGTGAAGTCAGAAATTTCACAACAGGAAATCTCAAAAGGTCAGAATGACGCAGGAGGTGCTGGAGATCTACCGACTGACTCTGAAGAATGCACGTTGGATTCAACGAAAGAACTTTCACCTTTGACCTTGAGAACAGAGCCACTTCCACTGAAAAAGCTTGTGAAGACAATCTCAAACTGTCTTGAGGCTGAAAGTTTGCCACAGGAAATGATGTCACAGACACAGCAGATGCTGGCCTATCTGGCCTACGAGGATGTTCTCACAAGTCTGGGGCCAGAGCGACTTCGCCGTGAAGCTCTTCGAAGCACGGACGAGTACGCCAGGAATCCTGGCATGTTGTTGCACGATCTAAAGACAGTTCTGGACAGAAGCCTCAAAGACGTCGGCGAGATTGTGGAAAACGAAACGGCGGAAATACTCAGTAAAAAGCTGTTTGATCTCTGCGACAACACTCGAGTGCAGAAGCCAACAGCATCCCTGAGAGGCACTGCGTTTGTCTTAGCTACAGCGTCCTGTTTCCTGGAGAACAGTCCGGAAGTAGTGCGCTTTGTGTTGAAGCATAGAAGAGTCTTGGTGAAAAGTTCAACAAATCGGATCAACAAACACTTTATATTAGACGAGTTTCTTGGGAGACTGGAACACATGAAGAGAAATGGAACTAAAGGGTTAAATCTCCAGCAGTACTTTCAGTCCTTGGAAGGGTTAAACCGGCTGCTGTTTTTGTATGTCAAGCAGAAACTGAGTCAGCCGGACAATGACATACTCAGAGGGCCCATCATGACAGACGACGTTTGTTGCCAGGCGCTGGATGACAATATGGCTGTTGATGTCAGGTCTGATGGGGCCGGGAACTCTCAAGACTCCGAGTCCATCAATACTGAAAAGCTTATTGCTTTACTACAGAGCCTCGGAGGAGGTAAAGAGGATGATTTGAGACCCTCTATTTCTTCACTCCCCTCGTGGCTGATCCAAGCTTTGTATAAATCTTTCAGCGATAGTTTCGATCCGTTTGACAAGTTAAAAGACAGTGTTGATGCTCTTGTGAAGTCGGACAGGAGAAACCGTTTCCCTCGTGTGATTCGGGCGTTGGTAGGGACAGGTCAGCATCATGTCCTGACGTTGTGTAGGTCAGTGAGTGATCAGCTGTCTGAGAATCTGCTCCCCGTCTGTCTTCTGGCTGACCAGGTGAATAATTGGGTCACAGCAGACGAGGATGATTTTGACAGTGAGGGTGATAATGATCCCACAGCTATTGACTGTTACTGATTCTTGACCCAAGGAATTTGTCAGCTTAAGTTTTTTAGATTAATGAAGTATACGTGTTGTATCGGGGTGAAATCAGGCGCTTGTCATAATAATGAGATTGAACAAATGTACAATTTTTTTCGTACGGGCAGTTTTTATCAAATATTTTGTTTTGGACTCAACACCTTTATAAGTCCATTTAAAAACACATTCCTTGTTGGATTTTACTGAACAACATTGATCAAATGCGCTCAAAATGTAAATTTGCAGTTTTTCAAGGAGACTGCAAATTTGGATGTCACCAAATTTTGGTGGCCATTTTCTCCCTTATTTTACCTCTGACACAAGGCAACCCTCACTCAAATTCTATTCAAGTTTCATGGTTATTTAAAAAAATCAAAAGCAAGGCAAATGAACAAGCTTGAACATTATATCAATAACTCTAGAGGCCCAAAATTTGACCAGCGCCTGATTCCACAGCTTCATGACACATGTAAATTTTTAATCAGAACACAACCTACTGTTTATATGTTGCTATTATGTATTAAGTTCTCAAAGTTTGTGCTCTTCAGTCGAGGGGGGGGGCGTGAGCAATATGTAGATGTCATATATTTTTCATTATTAATTTTGTAAAAGGCTGAGGTAATGATCTGAACTTTTAGACCATGCAACCTGGTGTGCATGTCCATGATGAGTGTATGCGTGCATGTTTATGTTGGTAAAGTACTATTTTACTATTTAATTATAATGTATCTCTTTTTGTACTCCTGATTTCTACAAAACGTTTATGTATTAGGCGTGATTAAATAATTGTGTCGCGACGTGGTGGAAACAGGCGCTCGTCAATTTTTGGGCATATGGGATTATTGGTATCATCACTAAGCCTGTTCATTTGCCTTTCTTTTGGTGAAAAAAATATCTGTGTTGAATGGAAATCGAAATATTTGAGATTGAAGTAGATCAGGATCACCTGCTTTCAGAGGTAAAATTAGCGAGAAAATGGCTGCCAGAGTTTGGTAACTTCAATAGCATGAGAGTCCTTGGAAAATGAAAATGAAATTTTTTTGTGCCTTTAACAATGTTTTTCAGTAAAATCCACACAAAATGTGTTTTTAAATGGACATAAAAGGTGTTGAGCTAAAAAACAAAATTAGAAAAAAATTTCCCACCAGCCCCCCAACAATGCTGATTTCTTTGATTTCATTATTCTGACGAGCGCCTGATTTTACCATGAAGCCTCACACTTTTGGATGTGTGGGTGTATGTGCGCATGTATCTGTGTATGTGTGTGTGAGCGTGTATCTGTATGTGTATGTATGGGGATGTGCATGTGTGCAGTGAAGACATGTATTTTGTGTATGCCTGTTTTTATCATTGATATTATGATGATATTGTTTGATTATTACATTTCCTTTTGTTGACCCCTTTTTTGCCTTGTGACCAACCTGGTATGTCACGAAAATGCTGAATTTTAAGCGTTGTACTGTACCAAGGATGTCATGAAAGTTGGCAAGATTTGCCATTCTTTGTTGCTTATTTATACTTATAAGGTGAGGATAACTTACAGCATTTCACAGTGAAACACAGGTGGTAGGAAGGTCCTTCGTCATAACAATCCTTATGTTGCTTTCATCCGTCTTTTTCCCTAGCACTGAATAGCCGATATCTTGTCTATGCATGTCTTTTTCACTCGACCAATGTTGGTGCAAATTTACTGAAAATTACATTTGTAGGCCTACTGTATATGATACCGATTTTAGTGTAGCTTTTTTTCTGGCTAAAACTTCAGAGTTGGTGTCATTTACTTGGCCTACACATTGTGTGGATGTTCAACAGTTGGAAGAAATAAACTTGCTGCAAACCTATGGATGAAGAACTTGGGAAAAACACTTGTTCATGCTTTTGTCACTCTCCAAGTAATGTGACACTTATTTGCTATTGAAGCTCAAGTCTCTATTCTCACAAGAAATGTGAGACTTATTATATATATTGGCTATATGGTCGCTTTTAAGGACAAGAGGGCTAACCCAGATTTCGGGGATTTCCAGAAGTCTTCACCTTCGCCAAAAGTGGGCATTGTCCTACCTATAGAAGAAGTTTGGTTTCATTGGTGTGTATAGTTGTTTGGTTATAGAGAAAACTCTCCTTGTCTTTTAAAGAAACTGAACTAGGGGCCAAAATTTAACTTCGATTTTCTGAAAACAGCATTTCTCAGGATAGCCCCCTTGTGCTTCAAAGCGACCATATAGCAGCTGCATTTTCATATTTATTTCAGATGAGACATAAACATCTGTGGTATAGTGGTTAGGTGCTTCGCTGTCACACGCATGAGACTTGAGTTCGATTCTCGAGTGGAGCAAATTTTTATTGAGGATCTAGGTCTTTCTGCTGAGATGTATTCCTCTCAGCCCGGGTTCGCCCTGACAGGCAGAGTTGGAAGCTTATCTCCTAAATGATCTAAACTGAGTTGATGGGAGCATAAAAACACCTAAATTAAAAAACAACAACATACCAGTAATACCAATTGTATTTCTATATTATTTCAGTGTGGAAGTAGACAGAAACGGATGAAATAAAAGAACATATAAAAGTTTTAAAAAACAATTTTTTATTTTTGATAAACAGCTGAGCTGACTTGCTATAAAAAAAGTACATGAAGAATAAAAGTAGAACTGTACTGTAATCAGATTCATTGTCTCAAAATGTGCTGCTTTTCATGAACAAATGTGAGCCAAGTTTCTTTCATTTTAATGCTTTCCAATTTCTTAACAAACTTAACGATGAGTAAACTAAACTATCTCCCCCCTCCATTTCCAAAGATTAGATTTACATAAAAAGTACAAACATGGGCAGTGACAAACTCTTATCATAAAAAAGAAGTGACACCATTTACAGTCCACGCCGGCTTTTTAAGCACGTTTCGGACTCAAGCACGCTAAACGGCTCTTACCGAATTTTTGCTATATAAATTACACACCTTTAAGCACGGTAACTTCGGCTTCAGGCACGCTTCATTTACAAGACAGTCAATACTTTCATGATGACCCATCAAAGTTTGAACACAGTCTACACCGCAGCAGTGAGTGTGTTAAGAGAAACAAAAACGGTGCAAGTGATGGACACACGCACACACAGGAAGGCAGAGAGATGCACACAGCCGCACGTGTGGACATAGGATCTCGCCTAGGGCAAAGCTACACACAAACCAAAAAAAACAACAAAGAAGGTTGGAGAGATGAGAAAAGGAGGCAGGCTGCGATTTCAACTTATTGCCCCTCGCTATCCGATAATCCTGATTTGGTATCACGTGCGAGGTGGGATCAAAGACCGTATTTGGGGGGTGAAGGCGGTGGTATGAATGTGGTACAGCGAGCAGTTGTACGCACAGGCAGTGTGTAGGTCGCGTGTGCTGTATCGTGACTGGCCGTCTAAATTAAGTTTTCATTTCCCATTCGACCACAAAACAAAAACAAACAAATGAAAACTACCATGGCGGGTAAAAATAACAGTGCACACGTTTGCAGGACCACTAGGCCTAGATCTACTTACAAATGGAAATAGCACAGGAAATTTTCTACATGAAAATCTCTGAATTATGTCTACTTCGCACTCAAGCACGCTTCAGCTTTTTCCCGATGACCGTGCTTAAAGCCGGCGCGGACTGTATTTAAAAAAAAGAAGAAGAAACATTTCATAGAAAAAGGCAAAAGTAAAAACCTCCCTTGAGCCGCCCAGCAGACGTTGTTCACCTCATGTCGTCTCTCATACCCCTGGGTTTGAACCCTCCCCGCCCCCTGAACCTCCCACTCGGGGCCCCTCTCCCCGGAGGTCCCCCCCTGGACATCCCGCTCCTCATCCCTCCCCTCCCGGGTCCCCCCATCCCCATCCCCCCCGAGGCAGCCCCCCTCCCCCTCCCGCCCCTCGCCCCCCTCTCGTTGGAGGAAGACTGTTTGCTCTTGGGCGTGGGCGACTTGGGCCGGAGTCTCTCCACCTCCTCCGTGCAGCCCGTCAAATGGGCCTCGGGGTTCGTGTCGAAGAAATTGGCGTAGGCTTCGGCGTCAAAGTTGGAGCTGGTCAGGCCAGGACCCACGGAGAGCCAACCTGGCCTGATGGTGGTGTCGCGGCCGAACAGGTGCAGGCGTCTACGACCCAGGCAGAAATGTTCGATGATGTGAAAGATTTCCACCTGTGGTGACAGCACAAAGCAGTGTGACAATAAGACAATACAGATACAGCAGGATACAATAGGACTATACAGAGAGAGCAGAGGGACAGTAGCACAATGTTTTTGTTTTAGTAGAGATTTTATGGCGCTCGCAACTGCATAAGGTCATATGAGCGCCAAGGGGTGGATGTCACCAGAGAAGTCCTTACAGGGAATCAGACTTACTCTGCTCACCTCTCTAGCTTCAACAGCACAAAGTCTGCTTCAACTATCAAGGCACCCCGGAAATAGCGGGTCACAGGAGTGTGACAAACATACAAAAGAAGTAGAGGAAAATGACGATAGTAGTAAGGATTAGGAAAGAAAAGGCAGCAGTTCCCTGTTGTCCTTCAGGCACAGTTAGGAACATGACATTGATGAATCAGCCCATTTACAATTTACAATTCTACTATGCATAAGAACAAGTTAATGTCCCCTCTTTGGGAATGACTTAAACACACTTCAGTCAGTAGCACCGCCCCAGGGGGTAAGTAGCACAACACCGTCACCTACATTATGCATCTGTTTTCTTGCTTTTTTTCAACATTTAAAATTTCAATTTCAACAATATGTGAGGCAGCGTGGTGGAATCAGGCTCTCGTCAAAATAATTAAAGTGAAGAAACTTGCATTTTTCCGCAAGTTTGTGAATTTTAATCAAATTTTTGGGTTTTCTGGCTCAACACTTTTCATGCCCATGAAAGAACTCATTTCTGTGGGGATTTTTCTAAAAAACGTTAATTAAAGGAATAAAAAAAAGTAAATTTTCAGTTACCACGGACTCTTAAGCTAAGGAAATAACTAATCTTTGGCGACCATTTTCTCACTAATTTTACCTCTGAAACAGGTGACCCCAACCTCCTTCATTCGCAAATATCTCGACTTGTATTAAAGATAAATGGATATTTTTTTCATTCAAATAAAGACAAGTAAACAAGCTTTAAGATGATATCAATAACTGTACATGTCCAAAAATTGACGCGAGCCTGATTCCACCACGCTGCCTCACATATGTTTCTCCAGCACATGCAACCTATTTCACAGAATGAGAAACTGCAATGGAATTTTTGTTCATAAAATTTTGGGCTTAGAGAGCACTTGAACAGCTGGCTGACACTATGATCCCTAGACAACTAGGAGATGGTAAACTATACCAGGGCTGCCAACCCATCGCCATGGTCTTAAGTAATGACCATGAAAAAAATTAGTAATTTCCCATAAAAATTAGTAATAGTGCTCTCATTTTCAAATTACTAAATTACAACGAAAACAATAGGGCTTATCGAATGCTTCTATGCTTCTACTCATGTACGGTAGTATTATTGTGGGCAAGGCTAACTTGCGGGAAGTGGGCCAGCTGGTCCTTTTTTAAAGGGAGGGGGCGGGGGGTTGATTTAGAGATTGGCGGTTTTCCGACTATTGGCGGACGATTTACAGGTCTGCACTAAGACTTGTAAAATAAAAAAAAGAGCCAAAAATATCTTTTTTTTAGATCTAGCCAAAAATCTGCTGATGGAAAATAATCGTAATAAATCTCCTTACGATCGGAATTTCGTAGTGAGGCTAAAAAATCGTAATGATTACGAAAAAATCGGAATGGTTGGCAGCCCTGCTATACACAGGAGACTACAGACACTGCTGGGGTGTGGTAGTTGGGGGGAGGGAGATGTGCATACCTTAGTGAACTAGAATTATGTCAGGAGTGCCCAGTCATGGATATTGTACAAAAGTATACCGGGCAGATGGTGGGTGTTCCGGTGTGGTTAGCTCCTTCTTTCCTATCAAAATCAAACACCAATCGTCCATATCTCTCCTCCTTCTCTTTTATGTCTGTTACTTTCTTGTAACATTCCTAATCTATGACACTTATATGACCTAATTGTGTTGCCAGTGCCATAAATGCTTACTAAAACTAGAACTGTTAAGTATAAACACAAAAAAGAGAGGAGTCAGACGACATTGGCACTGACCGGCTTGTCCTTGGTCCCGTACTGCGGCTCTTCCTCGATGATCAGATCAATGTCAACGTTGGCGTGGATGAAGTCGCCGTCTGTGCTGCGTTTTACAGTCCCTTTGATCCCCATAAGGCAGTGCTCCTGAACAAGGGATAGACATACATTAGAGTTCCCTTAAACTGAACAAACACGATTAATCCGAAAACAGTGGTTAAACCTAAAGACAACAGAATCACCAATTTTTTTAATTTGCTGTTGAAAATTTTTTTTTTTCTTTTGGTGGAATAACTGATGAAACCCAGGCTCTCCCAGACTCTAACACCCCCCCCCCCCCCCCACCCCAGCGGCCCGAGGGTAACCTGAGTGTGAGACCCATCCCTGCTCTAGAATCGTCCTGAAGGCCAGAGACCATGGTCACAATCTCACCTTTGATCTCTGTAAGATGGCGTTGGGCTCCAAGTTCTTGTTGTGTCCCGGATTCTTGATGTTGGTTTTGATCCAACAGATGTCTTCACACCGCCGGAAACCCCATCTCTTCAGACACTGAAAACACACAACAAGGAATTCACCATTATCATTACCTTTTTCACCAGCATCTATGGCGTAGTGGTTATAGCTCTTAGTTTTCACACACAGTAGACCCAAGTTCGATTCCAGAGAGAGGAGAGTTTGTTGAGTATTCTGGTCTTTCTGATGGGAGGCATAATTACTCTCAGCTAGGGTTGGAAGGTCATCTCCTAAATGACCTAAACTGTGTCAGTGTGGGCGTAAAAACCACCTACATTAAAATTAAATTTTAAAAAATTGGTACACCTTTGTCACCCTGGACCATTGTCTGTCCCCATGGTTTTATGCACCCAGCATAATTTAGCAAAATCTGATTATTTTTTGCATAATTTCTGGTTATTTTCCATTATCATGCTTTGTTAAAATTAACAGAATCGCATAATTTCACATTTTTGGGCCCAGTTTGCATAATTTCATAATTTTTCCCTATCCCAGGCTAGCCTCTTCAAAGGTTACGAGAGAAAATATATCAGGCCTACCCCCCCCCCCCAACCTCCCCCAACAAAAACAAAAACAAAATTTTTTTAAAATCCAAAAACTGAAGAATCATAGGAATGGAAGAGAAAGTTTTGCTTTTACACCACTTTAACTTGGGCACTTTCAACACAAATAGGTCACATAAGTGCCGAAGATTAGAGGTGTTTCAAGGGGAGTAACAAACACAAAAAAAGGATGAGAGACCACATCAGAGCACCTGCCAACCACCCAAAAAGAGAAAGAAGAAAAAGAAAGACGAGTTGAAGACACGAGGGAACACAGGACCCACAAGGACATTGATAGCTCGAGCACTCACCGCTCGGCCACGTTCGAGGCCTTCAGCGTTCCCGCACCAGATCCACAGAAAGGACCGCTGAGCAGCCACAGAAGGAATGTCCAGGGATTCAATCTGGGAAACAAATTATGTATGTTTTATTACAATTACATCTCACTGGCAAACACGTGTACATCTCAACAGACCTTAAATAAAGGGCACCATCAAAGCCAAGCAATAAGTTCATATTGAGTCCTATTAGCATTAGTAAATTGAAAGGTAATTGCTCTTACTTTATTGTTGATGACAGTTTCTAAACAGTCTAAATTTAGTTTAAATTTAAATACACATCGTTCAAGTCCCAAAGCTTGTTAAACACACAGACACACCCATTGACACACATACAGACATTCACACCCACCCGCTCACCTCGTCCCAATCCCAGCACTTGTCATGACGTCAAGACCCCTCCCTCCCACCTCCACATACACACCTTGTCCCTACTAGTCAAACATCACCCCCCCCTCCCCTACACACACACCACACATACATACACCCCCACTCATCTCGCCCCAGTCCCACTACTTGTCAAACACAGCTTCACCCCCCCCCCCCCCCCAAACACACACATCCCCACCCACCTCATCCCAGTCCCAGTACTTGTCAAACACAGCCCCCTGTGTGCGCTGGTACTCCTCTAGCGGCGGTTCCACCAGGATCACGTCAAACTCACAGTTGAGGTCACGGAGGTCAAACGTCTCCAAGTCTGCTTGTAGATACCTACGAACATAAAAAAATATGGAACAGTATGTTTAAGTTTCTTCCAAAAATAGAAAAAACAAAATAGGAAAATAATTTTAAAAATATATATATAACTATTGTCCTTATCTCTCCTCCTTTTTTTTTTAAACTCTCTGGTAACATTTCTAATCTTTGGCAATTATATGACCTATTTTTGTTGCACGTGCTGTAAAATTAATTAAAACGAAGAAAATATAACTTGAACACACTGTTACAAAACTAAAGTGACAGGTTCTGCTAGTAGCCATAATACACAACTCACTCTCTGAAACTGGACAGAAAATCCCCCAAAAGCAATATAACGAAAGTATAATTGTTTCTTCAATGCAAATTTGAAAAAGAAAAAAAACAAAACTCCAAAAACTTGATGCAAACTTCCATTTCTTATTTTAAGCAATAAATTACACATTCTCTTCCTCCCCCCACATTTCATTCATCCATCAACTCACATGGGCGGAGTACTTGTCTTTGCTATAAGTTCATCCTTGAGTCGAATCAGCTCTCTCAGTTTCGGGTACTCCTCAAACCTGTTTGCTAAACCTAAAACAAACAAAATAGAAAAATGTAATAAAATATATAAAATCAATCTAACATAAGTAATACAGACAAGAAATTCATCTCATTATACGACATCTCTCCCACAAGCTAAGGAAAGGGTGAGAGTAGATTGCCATGCTTCTCAACGAGATGAAAATTGTGGAGCTTGCAACCATCACCTTCACCTTATTATTGAATAATTAATAATAATACTGTAGTTATAATAATAATAATAATAATGATGATAATGATAATAATTGCATTTACATAGTGCATAGGCCTATTCATGCTCTACAACATTTTCCATTTGCTTTACAACTATTATTAAATAAGAGGCTGAAGTACTTCCTGATTTGTCCACTACAGTGAGACCAGTACAGGTTCCATACTGTCCACAAGTGCCTAAATCATTTTTTGAAGTTTTGAGACAATTAAAAGAGAACAGAAAGCCCAAATCAGAATTATTTTTTAGGGATTCATTATTTTTCAGATAAAAACTAGAAAGAAATAATGAAACAATGAAATTATTGTAATTATACCATAACATGCCCCTTGATGATGATGTCATTATTCCAGTGATAGCTTTTTCAGGAAATTTTCATTAATTGATTTGGGAACATGTGGAATGACTTTGATGATACCATCTTTAACCCTCCATAAAGAAGAAGATCCCATCAATAGTTGTGCTCCAAATCTTCAAATAATCACGACAAACAGGGGACAAGACTTGAGCAATAAGAGCACCAGCAACCTGCATCCTGTACAGACGTCACAGGTCCCACTCAGAGCTGACTTAAGCATCTACCTGTCTTCTTGTGTCTTAGGTGTATTCAACACTCGCTACGAAACCCAACTTTCACCCGGAACCTCAAGATAATACATTTGATGTATTTCACGGTTTTATGCCCCCATTGACACAATTTAGATAATTTTGGAGGTGATTATACATGGGAGTCTTTAGTTCTGAAGCAGAACAAGTCTGAGGTTCAGTTTTTAGTTTTAGTAAGTTTTACAGTACTTACAAAAAATATAGATCATATAAGTGCAAAATATTAGAGGGGTTACTAGAGAGTAAAATACCAGAAAAAGAAAGAGAAGAGAACATTATACAAATTTGAAAGGAGCAAACCACGCAAGAGTGCCTGCTAACCACCTACGATGTCTCATGGAAAGTTGTGAAAAGCAATATGGCTGTACTTACCAACATCTCGTATAAAATTCTGCGGTCTCTCTCCTGTGTCGACAAAATGCTGGCAGTAGTCGTTGTGCGGATTTGCGCTTTGAGTACCCTGCAGAGGAAAAGAGAGACACATTACCAACTAACATTATTTTCGGCAAAATTATGTCATTTTCGATGATTAGACTACTTTTATAAAATTGTATCTCTCCTTATGAAGATAAATAAAACAGGGGAGATCAGTCTCGCCTTTCTACCTTACTATGTGCTGATATCAATTCTGCTGTCTCAGAATGAAAGTGTCTTATAATTATAAATATTTTCAGTTTACTCCCTCCATCGTGTCAAGATGTATTCGTAAGTGCTACCTCAACAGACTAAAAGCGTAAGATTCTTGTTTCATTTCTCAAAACACTAATTGACAGACTGATTATCTCTCAACACAAACATCAGAAATGAAACTATAGGTTACATTAAAGTCATAATAAAAGCATAGAACTGACTCCGAAAACGTGGGTTGTTGCGGCATTTTCAAGCCAACTTTTTGAGACATTTAACCCCTCTGGTATGGTCCTGCATTGAAAACCATGTGCATGCTTACCTTTAAAAATGCACTTGAGTCTGTGTAGATTTCATCTGGTTCAAAGTCTTCCTGTTTAAAAGAAAAAAGTTATGAACTAAGAGGTACTCGACATTCAATACTACATTTGAATAAGGCATTATGCAATAATTTACATGTTTACATGTTAGTGCGCTCGTCTCCGAAGCAGAAAGCCTGGGTTCGAGCCTTTGTTTGGACACATACTTTTTTCGCCCCTCCTGCCCACCCAGCAGTAATGGGTACCTGACTTCGAGTTGGGGAAGTAAAGGCGGCGTGAAAAGGAACTGACCACCCTACCACAATTAATTCTCTAACATCAATGTGAGACCAATAAAGGTGTGCTTCTTCTTACCTTGGGCAGATTCACAGTGCCAATAATTTTGACACCAGAGAGTGAAAAAAATGAGAATAGGTTCACAAATAATATGCTCATTAACTGTGTAGTAAAAAGAATTACATCTTCAAGTTCAGCCAGTGGCATTGGGTTCCTTCAGTAATAACTCCTTTGCTGATTTTTAAAAAAAGAGACTTGTTCCCCAATAGAACACACCACAGCTACTCTCTAAAAGGTCCCACAAAAACGCACAACACACAACACGCAAACCCACAGCAGTCTGTCCTGAGTCCCTCTCTCTCGTGGTCTTTTGGTCTAAGGGAGAAAACGCTGAAGGGACTGGGGTCGTAGATGAAGATGCTGCTGTACCTCCTTGGAAAGAACTGAAAGAGTTCAAGTGTACCTTTTAAATAACTAAATATGTTTACGACAAGCTTTTGTTTAAAAACTAAAAACACAACATCTTTGTATTATTCTTGATCTTGACTTTGACATCTATATAAAATTTACATTTTCAAAAACTTGCAGAAGTAGGGTCAAAAGAAGAATATTTAACTAGATAAACACACTGAATTGATCAAATACAAGGTTTAAAAAAACGTAGGTTCGCTGACATAAACACATTATTTCTGACAACTACTGTACAAAGTACTTTTTTAGCTCTCAAATTATGCTCAACTTTACAGTTCATAGCCAAACATAAAATGAATTCTAAAATAAGTAGAAATGGTTAAACCTGCTCACAACATGATATTTGTCATTGGGTTTCGCAGGGTGCACAAGTTAGGCAAAGGCTTGATTGACTTATTTCAACAGCTTCTCCAAAATATTGTTAATCCTTTAAGCCCTCTTCGACACAATTTACATCAATTAGGAAGTGGACTGCTAACACCCTACCTTATCAGTGCTAACCCGGGCTGAGTGAAAAACTTCGTAACAGAAGGAGAAACTCGATGTAAGAACTTCCTCACTTGGGAAACAAACTAATGTGGCTGTGAAGACCCTACCTTATCTTTTCACCATAGGTGCTGGCGTGACATATCCCTACTTGACTCCAACACAAAACACCTGGGTGCAAGTTTAAACACCAGAATGACAGAAAATTTATAATAATATTTCAGACAGGAAAAGAAAAATGTTGACCTCTCTATTCCTTCAGAGGCTTGCAATTTTTAACAAATATATTTTTTATTCAATGTTAAATTACTACTCCACATTACCTTAACTTTTCCTTCTTCTCAGGAACTTTTATTTCATCATGTGTTTTGAGCACAGACTTCAGGTTGTTGGGATTTTCAATTCCATACTGAGAAAATAAAGAAATACAGAGAATAATTACAACAGCAGCATTCAACTGTGGTTAGGTTTATTTCTGGTGGTATCCATTCTTTATTCTTCACATGTGCTGTTGAAAAAGCAGCTACCATCCTGTACTATGACTGTAGAAAAGAATAGTTACTTTAGTTTAAAAGTTAGACAAGGACGTATCTTAATTGAGGCACTGACTGCAGTATAAAAATACAGTCGAACCTGCCCTGACGGCCACCTCTATAAGACGGCTACCTGTACAAACGGCCTTTTCCATTTCCCCCCTGCGTTTTTTTCTATAATTTAACTGTGTAAAACAGGCACCTGTCCAACGCGGCCACGGCCACCCTATTTTAACAAGCAACCCCTATCACACAAAGCAATAACACCTGTCTTAGATGGCCACTTTAGTGACTCCATTACGTTTTGTCATAAATCATGCAATGGCCCCTGGCGTTGCGGGCGAGCCTTCATAATCCAATCACCTGTCGTTGCTGTTAAGTAGTCCCTCCAACCGATCATGTTGCGTAGGCCCCTCACACTGTTGACCAATAGGTACATGTAACAAATTTTCAGAAGCTGGTGAGGTAAGAATGTGATACCTCATAACTCATAAGCCCTGCCCAGAACTCATACACGAATCGTAATGAGATGAGAGGCCACTGTTTACCCAGTTTACAATAACAAAGCAACAATGGACGTCAACGTGAACTTGCGGCACAAGCGTTGCTCGTTCTCCGAGTGGTGGCGACCCATGTGTTTGTTTTACCATGGCCCTCGGTCCTCCTTGTCTGATATATTTCGTTATATTGTCACCCTTGCACAAAAACAGCAACAAAAGAAAAAACCCCAGCGAAAACAACAACAACAATGCGGCTGCCTTCGGTTGGGACCTCAGAAAGGAATGGTTTGTTTTCTTCATCTTGATCAGTCCTCCCTAATACGGCCACTTGTGTTATACGGCCACTTTTTTCCTTGACAATGGGTGGCCGTCTTACAAAGGTTCGACTGTATATAATTGCAAGAACAAACATAGACTGACAGCATCATGTTTTCAACATTCAATTTATCATAATTCAAACGAAACATACAATCAAAAGTGCGTATCAAATTTGACATTATAAAAATGGGGCAGCTTGAAGCGACGTGAAGTACTGGTGTATATGATTATGACTAACAACCAATAAATCAGCAACCATCACCATCAAAAATGTCCCGAAGTATTTAAAACGGCAAAAAGACCATAAATACTATTCCAATTGTCATATTTGTCACCACTTTTGGGTAAAATTTTACTTTCAAACTTGCATGCAGATGCAGTGCTTTTGGGGAACTCCTTTGTCTTTATTCTGCAGAACACAATATACAATATTATGGCCACCAAAACTGTCACAAATCCATTCTTGTGTTAAAAGAAATCAAAGTACGTAGGCCCAATTGCACATCAATCAAATTATGAAATACATGGGGTCAGGCCCCCCATGACATCTCCGGCCCCAAAACTTTTTTTCTGTTAGAAGAGGGGCATGCCCTGCCCCCTGAAACTCTCCAATGTGAAAGATTTTTTTAGTAAAATGATCTCACAATTATACGGCCACTTTTCTCCTTGACAATGGGTGGCCGTCTTACACAGGTTCGACTGTTATAATTAAGAACAAACATAGACTGACAGCATTATTGTAATATATGCAGTTCGTAAAAACCATCCATAACTAAAAATTACGAAGTGACTATTTCTCCGAACGCTCTGGAAAATAAACTTGATCTCTATTTCTCCGAACGGTTTCCGTTCTCCAGATTTTTGGGTTATTTGCAAGATTTAGGCGTCATCTTTCATTCTGCCATTCTGCGAGGACTAGGAAGAAGCATTTTTTGCATCGAATTCAATTTCTAGAGCTAGATCTAGATTTTTTTATATGTCTGAATATTCAGATACTTCAGTTGTGGTTGGGGCAACGTTCCCGGACTATTATTAACTTCATTTGAAAATGCCTTCAAAAGGTACTGCGAGAAGTCACCCCAAAAGTAAACACTAAACTCCTTCGTGTAAACAAAAATAAAATCCCTCCACGTTCCCCCCCCCCCCCCCCCCCCACGTCTCCTTCACACCTTTAAATACACGACACACACACACAGACACACACACACACACGCACACACACACACACGCGCGCACAGGCCACTCCATTTACAAATTATCAACAAATCTCGAGAACGGAAATAGAGTTCAAGCTTATTTTCTCGAGCGTTCTGAGAAATAGAGCCGGCCAAAAAATTAATGATTTGCAGTAGAGTTCATGTTTAGCAGACAATTGACACAAACCTAAAATTGAAAAGCAGGCTACATCAACTACATGACTATGACATTAGAAGCTGGTGGACTTGATTGATGAGTCAGACCTCAGACGGGTCCATAAGTAAAATAACGGAAGGACCTCGTAACGAGCGACCATCCCAACAAACACAATAAAGACAAAGAAGAGACATAACCCTAACCCTTGCCCTCTATTCTACTCTGTCTCATAGCGGTAGCTCATTACGGGAGTCCTATCAAAATAACAATCTAATCTAGATCTAGATCTAGACTTTTGACTTTACGTTAGATTTTATTTAGTCATTCATTAGTGACTTGTCACAATGTATCGAATGAATGACATCTGATAATTCGAGTTAGAAGGCTACTTCAAGTTCACAAAAATTAAACAAACAAGTCTGAATTATCAAACTTCAAATTAAAACACAAATGACTGGACAATCTCAATGAAATCACTCAATGACAATGCAATCAAAGAAATCCTGAAATCGCGAAATGAGGAAATGCACTGCAATGACTGCAACTGCAATGACAAAACGGAAGGACTTCCATAACGAGCGACCACCCCATCAAACACAATAAAGAAGAGGCCTAGATCTAGGTGCTTTTTCGGTAGTTCCCACCCCCCTTATTTGAGCCTGACCTACATCTAGACCTATACGTTTGATTCAAGACGAGCTAAGATATCAAACCTAACAACTGCAAAACATTAAATTGTGGTAAAAGTCAGGGGGGGCATGCCCCCCTGACTGAAACCCCTATCTTCTATATATTAACAGGGGGACAAGCACCCCTGAAACCCCCCTACTCAAGGCTACTCTTGGGGCCAAAACCCGTGAATAATAATTGCAGTGTGGGAACTACCGAAAAAGCGCCGAGGCCTAGACCTAACCCTACCCCTACCCCAAGCCCTCAATTCTGCTCTGTCTCATAGTGGTCGCTCGCTAGGGAAGTCCTCCCGACAAAACAAAGCTTACCACTTGGGCGAGTAATTCTTTCCGTTTTTGCGACCTCTGTCGCATCTCCTTCAAACGATCACCCATTGTGTGTATCTTTTGTTAATGCCAAAAGCAACAGAAGCAGGGACAACTACTTTGACTTGACAAAATTACACAGGCGACAACACCAGTGTCAATGGACTTCAGAATCAGAAATTGCGCTGTAGGCAGCCATTTTGCAGGATGCAATAATATTTCTGGCTATTTTACGACTAAGCTTCTTGAATCTTGAGTAGCCATAAGCTCATTTTAGATAACTTAATTAAGACTGAAAATATATTGCCACATAAACAACAGGACACCACTTTTGTGTTTCAACATTTTTTTAAACATTCTATTTTCAACGTAAAGACTTTGAAAACACAATTGTTTCCGTTTTCACTTTCATATAATCGCTCATCCATATATATCGTGATATATTTTAAAACTGCATTGAGCGATACTTGTCAGATCTTGTATTTGTCTCCTGTGGGTTCTGGAGAGATTTGCAGAGAATATTAAATTAAAAACACGTTCTTAATATTCCCACATTAACATGAGTTTGAAATGAACGGCAGTTATTCTGTAGTTGTGGGTGTTAAAGAGTTGTGAAAAGTCGCTGCTTATCGATTTTCAAACTTATCAAATTTATAAATTATTCCCGATTACCAGCTACCTACTTTCGGTTATGAAAGTCAAAAACATGCTTCGTATCTCAACACTTTAGGAAAATAATAGGAAAGGTACAGTTTACGTTTCAGATTGGTTTTGAGTGGATTTTTAAAATAATATATGGTGAGAGTGACCGGTGTAGAAGGATTTGTTTTTTTATGAACAACAAAATTAGCTAAATTAGGCCTATTACTATTATTTCAAGGAAGAGGTTAGCCGAATGCCAAGTAGACTAACAAACAGCAAAAAATAGGCTTACTGAATTCTTCTTGTAAATAAATTTTTAGTTTTCAATACCTAAAATACTTGGGGGCTCTTTGGAAATTGCCTTCTCGTTTATTTACATAAGAAACAGAAGAAGCCCCTGGCAAAAATAATTTTAAAAAACCAAAAACACACAATCTTCACGTTTACATGGCAATCAGTTTCAGAATGGCTGCCAATGGAACAGGAAGGCAATTTCCAAAGAGTGTCAAATATTTGTATTTGAGACAAAACCAAAAGGTGCCTTACTGACAGTGCATTATGTATTTTAAACCTGAATAATACTAAGACGCACTACTATGAAATGAGACCTGTGTACTCATCAGGTTTCGGTCAATATAGGGCCTAACTAACCTTAGTACAGCTAGACTGGCAGGCTAGCCATATGGCTAGCCACTTCGATCTGGTTTTGGCCGTAAAGATAACTAAGCCTATGGAGTACAGTGTGAGTTTTGGCTCCACCAACGATTAGCCTCCTTGAGGTTCTAAACAGTTACTTTTCTACACTTGCAACTAAACATAGAATCATAGAAAGAACGACGCAAAATATTTTTAGGTAAGGTGGCCCATCTTTTGTGACGTCAGACCGGGATACCCCTCTGATCATGTGACTACCTGATCTGAACATAGCCAACCGCATGGCACCAAAGATCGTGTGTACCGACCAAGGCACGACGTTTGATGCAATGTTTTTTCCAGGAGACGTACCAGTTGGTAATGTGATATGTGATGCGGTGCTCCGATGATGCTGCTGCTTATCTCTTCTGCGCATTGTTTATCAGGCCTGTGGTAATCTCCAGGCGTCTTTACTGCAATTTTCGCACGCTTTTTATACTTTATTGTCTTTGCATTTACCGTATACTATTTTAATTTCAAGCTTCAGCATTCTTACTGCTCTGAGCCTCAACGATCTAAGTGATCTTCCATCCCCAGAGCATGGCTGGCGATCTGCAGTTAGCCGCAAGTGTGAACTTTTACTGTGCGAAACATCAATTCAATACGGTAGGCCTATTGAATACGGATAATAGGTCAAGCCACTGACCCAATATGTCGTTCCATGCGATGCGGTATCTCCAAAGATCGTGTAGTGTGTAGTGTAGTAGAGAATCTTTGGTATCTCTGTGGTCTTTTAAAATAGTCTGTGGGTATCCCAGGAGGGGATGATATCACATTACTAAAATAAGCAGCCGATCAGGCTGGTGCGTCGTTCTACGTTTAGCCGCATGTCTTTTCTACGCGCTTGCCGATATGATGTTTGATGTGCGGCGAGCAAGAAATATCAAACCTTGCAAACATCAAATTGTGGTTAAATTCAGGGGAGGGGCATGCCCCCCCTGAACCCCCCCTATATTTTATTAGGTCAGATGGGCAAACCCCCCTGAAACCTCCCTTGTTAAAAACAAGTGAAATATTACTGCTCATTTTGAGGAGTGTCTATACGCAGGCAATTACGTGCACCAATACATTTTTTGCTATACGCACACAATAGCGTACAAGGTATTATATTTTGCTGTGCCGTGATGCCAAAATTCTCTTACCAAGATATTGCACTTCCTCTTTGGACTTTTGTCCATGCCCTGTCGGCCCGCTTAGCGCGTGATGGGCTACGTCACCAGGGGATGCGAGGTTGGTTTCATCGTTGCATGCTGGGGGTGTGTGCACAGTATGTGTGTGTACAACTTTATTTGGAGAGGAAAAGAGGAATTACAGAATGGTACTGGTACAGGCTAAATTTATGGAACGAGAAATTCTGAGATTAAGATAACACAGAGGAACACTCCCCCAAAAGAATGAAAGGGAAAAAAAGGAAAAAGGTTTAGTTTAAAGATAACACAGATTTACCAGCCTCAGAGGGCCTGGCGTGGTCTCGCATTTCCCGAATAGCACCTCACGCGGTTGATGGGCTGTTATTATTCCATTCACCTGTCGTTATTGTTAGTCCTCCAGTGAATGTTTACCCAAGTTGACCAATGGGTAAGCCTAACAATGAATTTTTAACAGCTGTTGAGGGAAGGGTGATCCTTCATAAGCAATAATCCCTGCCCACAACTCATGCCCAAGTTGTGTGTGAGGTGACTGGTCACTATTTTGTCAACCTAATTACAAAGTAACAATGGACGTTGACATGAACTTGCAGCAGAAGCATCACTCTTTCTCCGAGTGATGGCGACCCGTGTGTTTGTTTTACCATGGCACTCCGTCTTCATCGTCTTAATTACATAATATTTCGTTTAATTTACCCTTGCACAAAATCAGCAACATAAGGAAAGCTACCAAACCTCCCCCTCAATACGAAAAACCTTCTTACACCACACACCTCCCTTTTTCAAAAGAAATCAACAACCCTTTTGAATTAGCCCTATGGCTGTCTAAAATCTGAGGTCAGCCCCGGTTTGGACCTCATAAAAAAATAATTTGCTTTCTTCAATTTGACCAGTCCTGCCTAAGACGGCTACCTGTGTTATACGGCCATTTTTCTCCTTGTTGATGGGTGGCTGTTTTACTCAGGTTTGACTGTACAAACAATTGTGTGCGTACAGCAAACTATGATACCTTGCACACAATTTGATTTTCTGCGCATGCAACTGCTTGTGCGTGTAGACTCAGCCCTCATTTTGTACTGAAAAATAGCAGCGCGTCTCTCGCTCTCTTTTGAATAAAACATTGATACCAAATATTTAAGTCAGTATCGATCCAGTAAACTTGGGGCCAAAACCGGAGAATGCCAGTAATTTACCAGTACAAATCATTAATACCAATATAAGTCCACCGTCAATTATTTTATTATGAATATATAGTGTAAGGCACAGTCACAACGCCTAAACTTTGGCTTAGGCCTGCCAGCCTGAAGCCAGCAAGTGAGAGTAAATATATAAGAAAACTTTCCAAGCTGAAAGAATCAGTTAGATTACCGTCATAATAGCTGGTGTAATCTAAGCCTAAATTTTAAAGTCGGGCCTTGTCTAGTACCTCTCCCTCCATCTTGATGGTGCTAACTCTAATCTAATGGTGGCTATATATATGGTGAGTGTGACCTTGATTCATACCACTATCCATATGAAAAAGACTCCACGGTGCTTTCTCTTTTCTTGAAATTGAGAGTGAGTGGATACTTCAGTTTTTCATACTCAGAGAAAAATATTTGGTCCTGTTAACTCTTATTAACCCTTCGTGACCTCTATACATATATACACACCGTTCGTAATTTTTTCTTACATGGTGGCAAACGAGCCAAGATGCTGATGCTGTGATGTATAACGTTCGTCATGCCTGTTTGTCATAGGCTGTATTCTGTTAAATACTGAACTACTGCTTCTGGTGCATTATAAAATTAATTGCAGATCAAATTGGCGTGTGGGAATATTTTTTTCCGTAACATAGAAATCTTTTCCGTATAGATATGATATAATTATTAGCAATTGAAATCCGGATCTAATTATAAAAAACTGACCGCTAAATCTTGCGGTACTGTGTGTCCCTGGGAATTCAGAACTGTTCCCGGTGAAGCACGAACTGACCTTGTGTCACGAAGGGGTGGTTAATAATAGACTTTTACAAAGTTGTTGACCTTTGCATAGTGATAAAAGCATGTTCACTTGAACTTTTCAGACTCTGTAATCAGTCACAAAGTAAAGCCACAAGTTGCATTCAAAATAGTTTTTTGTTTTCCTAGTTTTTAATGTGATCTTTTTCTTGGTGTCTTTTAGTTTTCATCAACTGGAGCAAAGAATTTAAACACTTCAGTGAACAACAGAATCCTTCCAGTTTGCAAACATGAGGCTCACTGACGCAGTATTCAAGACGTCATCTCTGAAGAAATTTACAAATTACAAGAATCCTGGATATCTGCACAAGGTGGTGAGAATTCCAGCGCTGAAGGATCAAGTGAAATCTCGTCAACTGAAATCAGAATGTGAGTGTAATGGGGAGGAGGGACATGTTTAGTAGTTGTGTACATCTGTGTGCAAGTTGTTCAATTAATTAGTGTGCCTTATATATTTTATTTCATTTTCATTTGAGATCCCACGATATGCCGTATAACAAGGATAGTGCGAATTCATCAGGATCGGCCTTGGTCGTTCGAGGGATCCATAGTTCGAGGGATATCTTACAAAGATAAAGAGAAGACCAAAAAAGCAGGACCTCCGACACAGTTCGAGGGATGCGTGATTTTGAGTCTTCTGTGTTCGACATATCTGTGTTATTATACTGTATAATATTTAATTGCTCTCTGTAGGATTTGTTGAGACTTCAGTTGATTTTTTTTTTCTTTCACTTTGTTCCTCTCAATCTCTTCACCTTATTATATTGTGATATGACCAGTATCTTCTATATAAGTGATGCAGCACAGAAATATTTTGAGTCCATGAGTTTGATATATGTGTGTTATAGCTTTGATTTAGAACATTTAATTTTATTGATATGTTTGTTTTTTTCTTCCCACTTTCCAGCTGCACCGTGTGTGAACGAGATGAGTCGAATGATGGACTGTTGGAAAAAATCTGACTTTAATCAGAGTGCATGTGGCAAAGAGACACAGTCATTTCTACAATGTATGGCAGCCGCTGAGGTAAGGATATTAATCGAGAAGGTTTTCTGGGCTCTGCAATTTACATAACAGACTGCTTTAGCTGGAAGTATGTGTCAGATATTTTTGTTTTCTGGTTTAGACTGGCAGCTATGGTGTAACCAGAGTGAGGACATTTTTTTAGATTACAGTCAAGCATCTGTGGTTGTCTGCTGGGATATTGTATCCCACTCAGCCTGGCTTGACCCTACATGGCGTTGTCGGAGTAGCCAGGCTCCTAAACGATCTAAATCGTGTTGATGGGTTGTAAAACTTTACAACAAAATAAAAAAAGAATAGGGGTGCTTTTATTGACTGTTTTTTGTCCAGTACTTTCCATATATATAAATTTGACTTTGCTTCTTTAAAAGCAAGAATTTTGAATATTTCGCATACTTAAGCCTACACAGAAATTGAACTCATGTCTTCTGTGTGCAACAACAAAGAGCAGCATTTCTGCTGCACCAAAAATAGCAATCTTTAAATGTTGTGTGTGCTTTGAGAGGCCTTAACGTCCTAACCATAAACGTGTTCTTGTTAGTGTGCTCTAACCACTGTAGGCTGCTTTCTTTTCTAATCTCATGTGTGACTCATAAACTTAAATGTGTCGTCTCTGTCTCCTTTTCATCCTTTTTCTTTGTCTGCTTCTTTGTTTCTCTCTCTCTCTCTCTCTCTCTCTCTCTCTCTCTCTCTCTCTCTTTCTCTCTCTCTCTCTCT